TTTTATATATGAGCTATAGGTCCAAATCCCGCAAGGGGCAATGGCTTAAATAGGCCTCAAATTAAGAATTAACTTGGGATACATTTAAAATTTGATGACAGAGTCAAAGTCTTTCCTTCATTTCTTAGTATAATGCTCAACTCTCAGACATTGGATCAACAAGTTGATCAAGGATCATTGAAAGCTCAGCATATTTCTTAGCGTTTTATTACATTTTTACATAATAATCCTTTGTCGTTCAAAGTTAGCTCAGGAATGATATTAGGATTTTACTACAACGAAAAAGCCTCGCAACGCCAATGAAGTCTAACTAATCTTGCCACTCAAAAGGTTTTCTCATACACTTTTGGCTACAATTTCGATGTCGATCATTTCTCATCAGCCTCCCAAACGGGATTCAAAACCGAATCGAAGGCGCCGTGGCGAAAAGTTACCAGCCAACTATACAAGAAGGAACAAACCATAAATAATATTTAATGATGCCGTGAGGCGTACCTTAAATCATTATAGGAAAATTCCGCTATTAATCCTTAAATCGTTCTAGCCTCGTAACATACTCACATCAATTTATTTAAGGTTGAATCTGCCGCTTTGTTAACTATTTAACTGTATGAGAACTGAAATCGTCATAGGCTGGTAAAGGTGATGTAAGACTTGATATTTGAGCTATGGGAAACACATTAGACCGCCTTGGCAACCAAAGGTCTCTTTAGATTTTATTAAAGATCTACGTCTCCTCTCGAAACCTATATCCATTATACAATAATGTTGTTGTTAGTTCGTTTGTCTGCTTCCTTATTTCTGCCATGATTTTTTTAGTATTATTCATGCTACCTTCAAAATGCATAATCTAACTAAGCCTGGAGCCAAATTAAAGTTGAGATCCAGAAAGGGTTTGCTCATATTGTCAGTTTGGGTTGCTTTGCCGTTTTGCCCACATTGTGGCCGAGGCCATCAACCTGACGAGACAGGAAAACCGTTGAAAATGTAGGCGTTTTATCATCAGGACAGTCATTGGATTTTTAAAATAGTTTAATTACGTAATTTAGTGAAGGGGTGTATTCACACTATAGGAATTAGTAGTTAATATCCTCAAAATCAGGGTACAACTTGATAATGAATATCTCCTAGCCAACACAGAATCTATATGAGTAAAATGGGAATAGGACAAGTTCACTTCAGGAACTTTATACACGTCACATGTGCAATATTCTCTATACATAAGGATTGAATGTGGCTAAAGGAGGATCACCATGATACGGCTTCTAGCCTGATTGTAGCTCCCTTTTACCTTCCCTTTCGTAGACTTGGTTTTAGCATTGCTGAGTTCACTTCTATTTCGAGTTAAAGTGTGTGATGAAGATATTTTAAGGTAGATCCCACCAAAAAACGACAGCCGATTTCTCTTGGTCAGCTTTGATTTGGCCTTACTGGAACGTTCTTGCTGACGCTGTTCCTAAAAAATTTTCTTATATTTTTTGCGAAAATGTGACAACCTTTCGTCAGAAAATTGATGAACACCTTCGAATCTCTTCATCACAACCTTTCACTTGAAATGGAAATGCGTTTAAAAATAATAAATCAAAATCTTTCTCGGAACCCCACCATTTTTAGCATATACTATATTTTAGCATTATATGCCTTGCAGTAACGCGACCTTATTTAATCCAACACATTTTGCATCTGCTGATATTGTACTAATGCATCATTGCTCCATATCAAAGACGAAGGATGGCGAAACGTTTTGCACAGCGTGACCGGAGCATACAACATAAGTTCATTTTATGTCGTTTGAAAATATGTTTGGGAGGATTTCGTAAATTCGCCTTGAAGTGGTGCCTGCTGGATTGAACCAAGAAGAAATTAGCTCACACCATCTTGTGACCTTGCTAAGGCTGTGCTGAGCTCTCATCAATTCTGTTGTGATCAAATTCATCATTTGCTAAGAATGCACAATAACACCAGGTTTCCTTTAACCTTATCTGTCCCATCTAATTGATGCTGTTTTCGTGGTAATCTCATTTGATTCCGACCAAAGCATACCGAGCTTTCCAGGTAAACATGAAAAGAAACTGGATTTGGATAAATCTATTGAAATAAAAGTTTCTGATGACTTTTATTTATTCTAAAGATGTCTGATCAATAGATTTGTAGATCGTTCTCACCAGAAGACGACGGCTGTTTCCAGTTGTTCTGAAGTAGTTTAATGCTACTACCGCGTTCATTGCTGATGTACTACAAGCGTTTTAGACCTGAAACTTATTCTTACAAATGTTTAAAAGTAATAGTATACCAATTGTCTTCCAGAACTAGTAGTAAGTCGAATCTTTTGCTAGAATGAGATCCACATCTGTTGATGTCTCTCAACTGCAATAAAGGACTATTATAACCCAAGCCGAATGAGAATGTCTTGTGGACTGTGTCGACAATGAACTTATTGGTAGCACCAACGACTGTAGAAATTCAGAAATCATCTATTGTTTTCTGGTTAACTCCATCCAGAAATCTCTTGATCAGGTACTTCCCCTATAAATGAAAGTTATTACAAATTATTTATTTCAAGAGATTCATCTAAACTTTGTTATTCCTTGTAGGTACTAGGAAAGCTTAGTATGTTTTCACCGAAATAGACAGTCTCAACCAGAGGTGCAAATGGGGCCAAACGAAAGCTGGTGTTTTTGCCAAT